CGCCTCACTCTAGATCGCGCAATTTCAAACGGTGATAGAAGAAGAATAAGAACGTAAAAGTGGGAGATAAAATAAGATAAGATAAGAATAGATTCACTTAATCCATGGCCATCTATATACAAGTATGATGATATTGGAAACTGATGTGTTTCCAAAACGAGAGTGATGTTGCGCGAGTTTGATCAACACCTGCACATACCTGGATGGGCAGACGGATAGATAGACAGATAAACAGACAGACGGACAAAATTCTCTTGGAATCACAATTTGTTTTTCAGTTTGCTTCATCTTGCACGAAGATAGTGGAGTCACACATCCACTCTTGTACGCCGCCTCTGCCATACCTCCGGTGGCTTTCCTTTAAGATTATGTTTGTTTCATCTGTCATAGCCGCTTCAAGGATTCATTTGATAGTGAGTTCCATACTTTATCAACCTTTTCCAGAGAGGTGATGAATGAATAGTTTCCTCGAGGGGCTGCTATATGGACAATCGAGTGACAGTGAGCTGAGACTATGGAAAGTGTTGTAATGAACGACGGATTACGTTTAAACAATCTGAGTGCCACCTCGCTATAAGTTAAGTAACTCGCACTGGTAAGGAAGCAGAGCAGAGCAAAAACTATACCGATTCACAGTCTTCATTTCATGTTCTATTTAATAAAAACCACAATATTGTTTATCGGTTACTACTATCACGTATGCCAAGACAAGCAAAGACATAGTTTATCCACACAATTTGATTCGTAAGGAGTTCGAATTGCTGTATGTAATCTCGTTGGTCTACGCTGACTCAGACACAATGCGAGTCATGTGATGTAACGTTCCGGGCACACGCAGTGCAGCGAAGCGATAGTATATCCCTTGGTTCGTATTCTCAGCAACTGAAAACGGAACAAGGCCGAACAAGCAACGATTTACAGAGCCGCGAGGATGTGGGGTTTACAAGAAAAGAGGCACGATCAGGTCTGTGATGAACCAATGCAGAGAGGTCCCCCCGTGACTGAAATTTTACAACAGACCTGCAAAAGAAACAACTCCGTAGACTCTAAAGATTCGATCAAACACTATTCATGCTGTATTGGGGTGGACTGCTGCTCGCTACATTCAGCAATAAAATGACAGTTTAATGAGCATCTCAGCTTCACAGTCATAGCGTCCGGCTGTTAAAGATATCGGTCGAGGGAAAGGATAATAGAAATTCGATGGTCCGTAGTTTTAGCAAATAGTGACTAAGTTCTAACAACAGGGGAAGATGCAGAATCGGATAGAATAGGGTAAAGCGATTGAGTTACCAACTGGCTTCAGCCGATAAACCATGAGAATAGTTCCACTAACACAAAATATATCAGTCACATATACCGGAGTAAAATGCTGTTGGGTGGCATAGCAATCCAATACATGAGTGCTCAGTTCAAGAACGTGAAAGAAGCATCATATATGGATACTGTATCTTGTTTAATCTTTGAAAACAGTCCATAGATGCATAGCCTAAATTGGATCAAGGGATTACTTCGTCCTGGTGTCAGAAACAGAACAGTTAGAACAGATTGGTCCACTAGCTTTATATGCAAATGAGAGGGTACCGTTCCAGCGATAGAAAACGGAAACCTTAGCCATTGTATATTTTGGAATCTCTGCCCGTAATGTATTATTTTTGTAGACTCACCTAAAGCGCTGCTTGTTCTTGCTATCTGAACTAACTGACTGTTTTAAGCATATTGATACATGCGCACATTAAAACATTGTACAAATCAATTACCTGGTTGTGATTATGTTTTGTTTTCATTTCACCTGGTGTGCAACAATCAGCTTCTTAATCGTTTGGAAAACAATGCAAAAGTGGTGCAACGCCAGGCTTCCTCAGGTGATTTGCCAGCTTGGACCGAAACCGGCAATCGCGCATCACGTCTACGCGTGTCCACCTTGAACTGTCTTTCGGCACAGAGTGATTTGGACGCGTTGAGTAGTGTTTCCAGTCGAAATGGGTAAATTGCTTGTCGATAATTCGGAATCCCGGTTTCCAATATATCCAACTTCAACTTTACATCACGCATGCGCCTAATCAATTCCATGAAACCGCATCCGGTAAGGATGACTTTAACTGTGCCAGCTCCGACGTAGTCACGATCCCGTTCACTGCATGGATATGTCCTAAAAAGGTGTATTTGGTTATATTAGGGCGATAAACACAGAGATTGATGGCATCTGGGTTGATAATCACTTAAATTTAGACGAAGCAACTAAGTTTCAAACCTCTAGTTGGGTCACTTTTGAGATGTTCAACAGAATTACACAATTCATTATTAAAAATCTGAGTGCAGTACTACTCGAATTTTGGACTGTTAGTATTGTTTCTCACCCTCTCACATTACTACTTCACAGCCTAATGCTATGTGTTACGTTATAAGACAACCAGAGGTAGTCCAAGATTGCCAGTGAACACGATTAACAATGAGTGGACACAATATGGTGATGGTAAATAGACTTTTGAGCTCGAAATCAATAGAGTTCTGTGCCCTCTATTGTCACGTCTTCGTACACAGAAGGAATAGGGATACTACTGGTTTAAATAATTCAAAAGTCTCTGATGCTCTTCATAAATGCGAAAATAAACCTTGTGCAGAGGTGAAAGACCGAATCACAGGACTTGTGGACAGAATCACATATCAGTTATTTCCACTTTGAACCTTGGTAACTGGATTATTGAAACTGGTGCCCTTCGCTGCTCCACGCAGACACATGAAGTTCGGGGTCACAAATCAGCGCATGCAACCCGAATGATTTGGGGCTTTAATCTCTAATTACCATCACCAGATTGAGTCTATCCGTGATTGATCTTTCGTTATTACAATGACATAGCATTTGGATTCCTGTTTAGCTTCGACCCGAAACCAGCGGTTCAGCTTCATTAGATTTGCTCTGCATGAACAATTAGATATAACCCCTTTAAATCCTTTGCTTCAGAACTGAGTCACTCTGGACCGCTTTAGGGTAGTGTTATGCAAAACGTGGAATGTGCTTTGCTGTGTGTTGCTCCTATGAACATTATCGTTTTAACTGGTAAAAGGGTCCGAGGTTCGAGCCCCGCAACTGCAACTTCGCTGTCGTCCGGTTCAATACCACGTCTAACCTAGCAGGGCTTTATGTGGTTCGCCACTTACGTGGTTTAAAATTTTTGGTTTTCATGATGGAGCAGCAGGTCTTCGTGACTATATGGTTCGTCGTTCACCACACAAATGTGTGTAATAAGAGAAACTCAAAGTCTAGGGTGGTGTCGAAGTCGCTCTAAGTAGACGAGGTAGAATATTGTCTTTACCGTATTTTAAGACTCATTAGTATAAGAATACTTGTTTGTGGTCTGGAATCCAGATTTCAAATTAAGTAAGGGGTGTCAGATGTACATTCTTTATAAGCTATATGAGCAGAGAAACAGGACTGTAGTGCTTCATGATTATATGGTTGCTTGGGAGTGAACTGGGTATAATGTGAAAAATTTCGAATGCTAAAGGATCAGTTCAAGCAGGTCGGTTCTAGTTTATACAACCAATGATCATGCGCTTTCGTGGTACACCGGTTTCCGTATTTGACTATGTTGCAAAGCACTGTTTCAGATAAATAGCATTGTAAGTGCTTGAAAATGAATCCATCGAAAACATACTCACCTACAATGTGTTATTATGTGTGAAGTATATCTGAATACAATACATTAGGGGTTGGGTGAGAACAGGATGCCAACGCATTTAAAATGAAAATTGAAGAGGGCAGATGACGGTAGATGACGACAATGTAATTGGAGGAATGCAGGAATGAATGAATAAGTGCGAGTGGTGTCAATTTTCTGAACGAAAATTTGATTTTTATACTTTGATTACTATGACTTTGTAAGTAGCCTGTTTATGAATGGCAATTTCAATGGATTACATTACATGTGACATTTTCATAACTTATCCAGGCTAATTTGATTACATTTCAATTAAAATGCACATTGTTCATCACGTGAAATAAAATGTGTAAATTCAGAAATTGGACAACGTGGAAAATGTCACCAAAATGTGTTTTAACTGAAAAATCCTAACCCAGTTCAATAACAACCTTGTTGATTAGGGAATCGGGCCAATACCGGCGATTATTGTTGATATGCAAAAATAGGTGCCGAAGGAAGGATTGTTTGGACGAATGGAGAAGGAGAGAAGATGCATCAAGGCTCAGTGGATGAAATGATGTGTCTTTAGTTTTATTGGTCAGGCAAATACAACAGTTGATGTTACCATGAATACGTTTTATGTCTAACGAAACAACTGAAATCAAGAATACACGATTAATAACCACTAAACGGCGTCAACAACGGGCTCCTAAATGTTCGGACCCACAAGGAACTTGCCAAACTTCATGAACCTTTGATAAATTCTCTCTTGACTGACGTCCTCTGAAAGGGACCAGACCATAAAAGAATTATGAAATGCATTTGTGACCCGTATTCTTCCCGTCCATAAAAAACATTCTGATAAAATCAGATCCTTTAAAGAAAGTTCTTTGGAGGATAAAGAAGGCATATTCCAGCGACAGTTGAAACGGTTATCATTTTCATTTCAAATCGCTGGCTGATACGCAAGTAGTTGTTACTCTCATCTGAACATCTGATCGATTACAATTATTGGTTATGCCATGCATCTTCCGCACCTATTCCCCCACCACTGGTCATTCAGTGCATCCCAATCTGCGAGTGTCAATTCTGTTCAATTCTCAGTTCTGATTAAAACATGCACCATTCATGTCAACCACGCCTCAGCTAGACATTATTCGTGATTTGCCGGAGGCTGATTGAGCCTGCCGCAGAAAAATTAGTCCGGTATTATTCTACGGGTGGTAGATTTGAAATAAAATAACTGGATTAGTCCATTCAAAACCAATGATATGCCCTAGGATTTCACTATGTCCTGCATTTTAAGGATACAAAGCATGTGAACAGAACCATGCCTAATCTGATCGCGCTGGTTCAATGGCTCAGTGGGTGTCTTCTGCTATTTTGCATTTTAGTTTCGACAGCACAGTGCGCAGCTCATATTACGAACGTCCGGATTTGAACTCAACTCTCTCGGAGGTGCCGGTAAGTTACGTTTGTCTGTGAGGCAATGTTCTCATTAAATAAAGCTGTGAGTTTATTCCGACGTTTCGTCGTTCTATGGATATCGAATTTACCAGTACTTTAGGCCACGATATCCCCTGCTGTATGTCGCGGATGTGTGTAGCTACTTGAAGGTCATTCAATCTTGATGATTCATCATAAGGATTACATAACAGCGCCTTGAGTTAGATAAGTCTAACATGGGCAACATCAACAATACGGTTGAGTTTTGAATAAATTACAATCATTAGTATTTGGCTGAGGAATATTGGTTACCTATGACGGATGAGCGGCCAGAAGTGTGAATCTTGTGCTGTGCCTGTCAAATTTTGTCCAAAGATTCATTTACTAATGGAACCTTATTCATGAGTGCATTATGGTCAGCGATAAGCCCCATTCGAACAGAATGGAGGGTCTTTGGAAACATTTGTAAAAACGTAAGGTTACCGCTGTTTTTAATTCAAACAACTTGAAGTCCCCCAGCAAGTTCAGTGATGGTTTGACCTTGAATAAAAGTGTGACACCCATTGGTCTGCGTCAGAACACAGGTCACATAAAGCGGTTTATTTTTGAAATGGTTAAACAAGTCATTGTAAACAACAATAAAAAGAATTAGCATAAATATGGCTCTATACAATCGAAACGTAGCAGCCAGTTCCGAATAACTCTCCAGATCTGCATCTTCGAAAGTGGAAATTCATAAGAAAACCTTATAAATATTCGAGGATTTTTGTTGAACCTCTTTATGTTCATCCAACGAAAATTTCCATAACCTCCATAGAATTTCAATCCATGTAAACACATATTAATCCTATCGTTTTGAGATCTGCTTTGTAACAATCGAAATCCGACGTGAATGCCACGTCGGGATCTTGTAGTCATATGGCGAATAAGCTAAAAATGGAAACGTCAGACAGGCTGCGGTGACCCTGTACTAAAAGTGGTCTTAGTTTGTTCCCACATTTTTATCTACATTTTCAGTCCTTTGATAAACCGAATGCACTAGTGAACACTGAAACACATCAATCGCCTCATGAAACGTGTTTTATAAACATTACTGTACCATGATTTGCCTGGCATACAGTCTGTGAAATACAATATAATATAACACCTCAAAACTGCCAGTCCTGATCGAAAATTTATTTTGATGGGAAACGTATCTCAAAAGAAAAGACCATATCGCAGTACTGCATAATTTGTGTCCAGGACAGTTCCGCCGCATGTCCACCTAGTGCATACTGCAGAAAACAACGTGTTATATATAGGGCTTCAGCTTGGAAACAAAAAGACAAAGTGCAATAAAAACATACAAACACAAAAGGGGAGGAGGTGTAAAAGGACCATGTCAACAGGGTAAGGGCAAACGAACATAAAGTTCTTTTTGTTGGCACAAGGAGGGCTTGCATTGCTTGATGGCCATAAACTTATGGAATGTGAGTTCCTCTAGTCTTCAGAGCCCGGGTGGTGTTCTGAACAATTAAATGTCCCACCAATAAGAACTGAGATTCAGAGGCGATTTTCTGTGCTACCATGCCAAAGCCCTGTATAACACGTTGTGTTTTCTGCAGTATGCACTATGTTGCGATGCAGTAAAATGATTCTGGACATAAATCGTGCAATACAATACACACTGTTGTTTTCTTTTGAAACTGATCTCGGGAAAAGTTTGCTTCAATTTTTTTTGAAAAACGTATAGCTATCCTCATTGAGCAGTGATGAACCACAAACCAAACAATAGATTGAGGTAAAATCGAATCGAATCTGCATATCTCTATATGCAAGTTTATGTGGCGCACTAAAATCTTCTGTACCCTTGAATAGACCTTTCACGATTAACTCTGACCGAAGAATTTGGCTGCTTTGTCCGGTATTGTTTTGTTTGGGGAGAGCTTTTAGCTGTTGCGCACTCCACGAAGTGAGCATCACACACGGGTGGAAGTGAACTTTGTTGACGGCATCAAGGCTGGACTCATTTTGCAATCAGTGAATGCTGTTCGATGAGTTGATTCATTAAGGCCTAGGAATCCGCGGGTAACTGACCTCCCCCATGTTGATCTATACACTGATTCCACACTCCATATGCCGTATCTTTCTCACTTGGTTTTTGACTTTTCAGCCATCGATCCTCCTTAAACTCATCTTCTCACTGTAACTCTTACTTCGCTCCTAACCGCTGGTCTTCCAGCCCCACAGAGTCCATCGTTCACATCTTAGCACAAGGTTTTGTGCATCACCGCGCTCGGTTCATGAAAATCAATCACCAGAAAATTGATTTGACATATTCCGTAGCGATTCTCTCCTCTCATCCAGCGAAATGTACATTCCAAAAAACCCCCATTTTATTGGCCTATTTTAATTCTAATTTTCTTTATTCCGTTTATTGTGTTCACCTGTTCTCTCCCATAGACCTCGAACTTGTCAATCACAAAACATGTGAGTCATCCGTGGACATGATTGTGCACTTGGTTCGCATTGGATGCACACAGATGTCTGTTTCTATTCAGTGTAATCCATCCCATTTTCAATGGCATCCTTTCAGCCACCACCACCACCAGCAATGTAAATGCTTTTTGTAGACACAAACTTGACAATCTGAAACCCACTCAACCCCACAGGACATAAGGGTATGAAAACCACAACCAGGACATTGGGACACAGGTCCCGTTAGGCTTCGTAGATCGGGACCCCAAGAACATGGTAGCCAGTAGTTAGAGACGCTGAGTAATCTGTCTGGGTGTCGCAAACACTGACGCTCGTGCATCTGCTCAATATTCCTTCAGCCTTAATCTACAGGACAGGATGGCGCCAAGAATACCCCCAAAACGATATATACAACTTCTTAGGATAGAATAAAATTTCAAATAGTGCATACTCCGACTCCCGATGTGTTGTACCAGTAGTCCATCCGAACCAATTTTAAGGATCATCTTCGAAGAAGGTCACGGGAGCGCATAACCCAGTGGGATGCAGATCGTTCAATGGAGGCAACTTTTGATAAATTAGGAATTAATTCTGCTCCATTCGTACCGTACTGAATCACGTGGTGTTTCAATAACCACGACCTTTCACCTCAGGGCTGAGATGGTATTCGTTTGGTCATTTTTGTGCCAATCGCTGCTCTCGTTTGAGCACATTTTTGTCAAGATTTCGCTACATGAATACCGTACCTGATGTACTGTAAAATTTATGCCAAAACAGGGCAGCAGAGCGTTGTCAAATGGTTCACCAATCCGACTTGTTCTAAAGCCAATGATGATTCTCTGATAAAATTGCATGACCATCAGAAGTTCTCCTGAACGACAATTCTAAAGTCCTCCGTGTCTGTAGCGCCTGGCCGTGATTAGTTTACACATTAATGAAAGCCGACTATTGTGAAGAGAATATACAAATTCAGATCTTGATATGTTACATTTTGTATCGTTGTTGAAGGATTGTTGTTATGCCATATCTAGTTTATTTATATTGCTATCATCATCAGGACCAAGCTTTGATGTTGTCAGTAGCCAATAATGTCTGTGTCCCCAAAACCTCCGGAAGATCGTTTGTACAAGCCAGGATAAGGCGGAGAATGGGCGGAAAATCTCCACGGATTGTGTCATTCGAGCATGACAGAGGGTGATTCATAAACTCAAACTCACGTGGTATGCTGCTTGCGAAATGCGTTAATTCAACTAGGTAGCATTCTTAAAATCCATGATGTTGTAGGCTGTACCGCAGTATTTAGTAAATTTACCGCACGGTTAACTCACACAAGCCACCCTGGGGGGGGGGGTGAGTAAGACAGAAACTTGCTGATTGAGAGAGACCTTGCGTCCCCTCCGTTCCCCTTGCCGAACAAAAGGGGTTTGCATTAGACAGATATTGTAAAACATTGAGCCTCAATGCAATCCACGGTTCATCAAAGAAGAAATAAGATAATCCGTGGATCTAGTAATGCTTATCACTGGCACGGGCATTTCGTCATGCAACAAAATCAGAGCTGTTTGGACACATTTCAACATAAGATAACGTCGTATCTTAGCTATTGATCACCCTCAGGTTGATTACTTGAATTATATGTGAACGT